CCGCTTTTCCTCCTTCACAACCCGCCGTGGAAACGGAACGAGCAGAATCTCACTCACGTGTAACGCGAATTTGCCAAACGAAATGTTTCTTCTCCAGTCGGCGGGGTGGAATTCCTTCACCACGAGTGTCCCGCAGGTACATCGCCTGGCCTTCGGGTTGGGATAATTGGGCGAAATAAACCGCAGGTTAATTACTGCCGCGACTCGCGCGTCCCGCCGGGAGATTCGTTTTCTCTGCTCAGTAGAAATTCGCAGTTCTGTGTGGGGCCAGCAACTTGAGGCGAGGATATCCCTGAGGCTTGCTGGAGGGCGCTAGAACAATGTATAAAATTATACTCATTATTTTTTTCCGGGTCGTGACCACTTAAAATGAGCCTCTCTGAATGACTGCGCGTTGTGTTGTATTTCTGGAGAACACCGCCGCGGCGTCATTTCACAGGCCTGAGTAGGTAAAGACGTTTCCCACCGGCACCTCCGTCGGAGTCGTTCGTTTCCCCTCCTGCTGTATCTGTAGGTGAGCTCGGCCCCTCGCTTCGCGGTCCCGAAGGCAAAAAAGGAAGAGTTTCTGCCGGTGGGCTCTGTCGTGAGCGCAGGAATCGGTGATAATGTGCGGCGGGAAAACTCTTAGATTACAGGCCTGGTCTCGGATCTATAGCGTGCCGATGCCTTTTCCTTCACATAGTCAAATTCTTAGAATTATATACCTGATACCGGCTCTTCAGAACCAGATAAAATATTGCAAGCTATTGAATTAAATTCATCCACGGTTTTCTATGGAAAAATATATATTTTTTCTTTTGTCGACAAACTTAATACACCATATTTTCAGTAGAAATACCACGATTCCATTTGTGTGGATTAAATTTTGTGCGTCTAAACCTTAACTGAATATTAGGCCATATGTTTAGCGAACAGTTTTAGCAAAAGTACGTTTTCGTTTTGTTGTAGCAGTGAAGAATACAAACACGTCTGTGACAACTGACCAGCTGTGAAACAAACGTCTCTTGGTCGTGTTTATGTGGACAGTAAAGATAGTCGAGGCAGAAGACGGGGAAACTGTCTCGCATTAATGCTCGTTACATTTTACAGCAGAGCGAGTGGCTGTAACAATCCCTGCCCGTGTGAAAATGCACCATTATTAAGGTCTGGACAATGTGTATGTAAAATAATACTAGACCGAAGAACAATATGACGCATATGAAGTAGATTAAAGTAAAAACTAATCACAGACCATAACAAGAGTCGTGCTGTAGAAACAGTCGAATATTTGTTCTTCAAAATAAACTCATTTTTGTAGGGCCTGGTGTGTGTATATTTCATTAAGTTAGAATGCTCACACGGGCGAGGGAGAGCCCAGGTCTTCGGCCGGCGTGGAGAGCTGGAGTCGGGTGTCTGTGTACGGCATTACTGCCTGCTTACATTGCGCCGTCAGGAAGCTTGTCCCTGCTATAGAAAAAGCCAGCCCTGCATATCAAAGAGACTCCAGCACTTCCACGCGTCCCAGACTCTTTCATTAGCAGCTCCACCAAAAATGGTAATGCGTTCTGGAATGAAGAGCTCGGAGGGTCCCTGGTGCTCGCTGGGCTTGAGATAATTGGGCGCTTTAAGCCCCGAATCCTCTGAAGCTTCGAGCGACCTGCCAGGAACTCCCCGACCCTCTCCTCCTGCGTCACAGGTCCGGTCTCACCTCGCCGGACCGGTGTCGTGGAAGATACTCCACTTTTGTACGAAATCCCATTTTAGCAGCCTGCAATTTCGAAGGAATTGGGGAGGGACGCGAGAGTGCTACCAGAAGCCATTTTACTCCGTAATTACTGTCAGGGGCGAATCTCCCGAGATTCTCTCCCGAGATTAAACAGCAGAAGATGCTCTAGTAATCACTACACTGTTCGCTCGTGTGTACCACCGAGGTAAACCTAAACGTGGATTTTACCCTGGAGGGTCCGTCTGTATTAGCCTACAGTATTAAGAGTAATAGTTCAGCATAATGTAGACATTATATACTGTAAATTAAAATCAAGCCTCTGTCCCTTATATCCCGAAAACGAAACGAGTAAGACCGGATGAATGACCGCTAGACTCGCTCTCATCTGTTGCTGTTCTGTTTTCTTACTCCCGTCCGAACAGAACCACGGCTGTAAATGCTCTTCCAGAACCTAAAAGTATTGGATACATTAATCGTAATAAGGTATTAACCTTAAATTATATAACTTGTATATTTCATCCTAAACTGTGGACATAATCTAGTATCTGACAGTAGTATTTTACGGTTTATATAACGTGCGCAGCGTTATATAATGGTATATTCCCAGTATGCAGTATTACAGAACACCAATAGAATTCTGTAGGAAGTAAAGTTAGTGTAGGGTTTTTTTAAAAATAAAAACCACTAGTAAATACTGTAAATATTCTAATTATCGTTAAAGTGCGCTATACTACAGTGTTTTATCTGGAGGGGTAATGGATATTCTAAGTATGTAACAAGTTTAAAAATATGCTATGAAGGAATTCTCTCATTTTATTAGATTTAAGGTCAGGGGAGAAAGCTCCAATTTATTTCCGTATCTATCTGAAAATCCCCGTATTGCCATTCATGTGTTACAGCTGTAGTGGTTCAGTGTAATTCAATTTCCTCCAGCTGTCCCTGCCTGCACAGCAGTGCCGGCCCGGCGCGGTCTCGCAGAAGCGCGGACACGCGTTGACAATATAAAGACATCGCCTTCCTCCGATTTGCTCGGAAACGGATGGCTGTACTGTAAGGACACTTCATTGCCTCTGTATGTTACAAATACGACACGAATAAGTTCGAGGACAGTTCTCCTCGTGTCTAGGGATTCCAGAATGCTTTTACAAAACGAAACAAACAAAAAAAAAGGGGCAAATGCCAAATTAAATCGTTTCGAGGAATTCCACAATGCACATCTGAACAAGGCTGGTGTTGAAGTCAGCTGAGCTGAGCTGAAGTGGGGCTCGGCTCGGTCAGTGCCAGCCTGCACTGCGGACCGCGGTGTCCCACTTCCGTCTGGCCAGGCGGGTCTGCGGCTCCAAAAAAACACTAAAAAAAAACCATGATCTGAAGGAGCAGGATATTGAATTATAGTAACACATTTTCTCCCTTTGCCCTTGTGCTGTGTTCAAGCTGCGAGGCATTCCGGTGTCTATTTAGAACCCTTTCAGTCTCGGAGAGAGCGGACCCGATACAAGTATTCAAAGTCCTCAAAGTCAGCCGGGCAGAAGCCTTCAGAATTGACAGTAAATCGTACACCGGGGGAGACAAGTTGGAACACTTCTTTACACAAAGGGTTGTGGGAGTGTGGAACTGCCCTGGTTTCTTTCAAGGAGCAGCTACACGAGTTCTTGGGATCAATTAGACGGGCAGGATGGGCCGACAGGCCTCCGCGTGTAACATCGCCGCCTCTCAGTCGGCCTTGCTCCCTATTCCAATGTCCAGACATCATCAGGCATTTAATAACTACCAGCCTACTACTAATAAAAGCGGCACTTCCGCTTGGCATTAGAGAATAATTCCACAAATCCCGACAACCCACTATTTACATAAAGGAAAAAAGAAACCAATTAACTTCTTCGTCAAGAGCTTTCAGGGTGCGTTTCGTATCTCGTTTAAAGTGTCTTTCGTAAGGAACCAGAAGAGGGTGCGTTTACTGTCAGTGCCATTCATTTTATACACCGTTTTCTCATTTGTGTACATCACTGATGATGTAAGGGATATTTTTTGGATTTTGTTTTTGCAATACTCACCCCCAAAAAATATTTCCCATTGTGGACAAAGAAATGGTTCTTTTTAAGTCCTTTTCTCGGCGTGAACGTCCGAGCAAAGCCGTCCGAGATATCGTGCTAAACGCGTCAAAAACGATACCATTTGCGTTGAGACAGCGACGCGCAGAACTGCGCTGAATTAATACGTTATTGACCGACCCGTCAACGGGACAGTTTTTTAATGTAGACAGAACATTATTTTCCATGATTAACGTGTTGTTTTTACCACTGAACTTTCCCAAGAACAGTCTTCTTAAGTTCCTCGGAACACAATTCGTAATATCACATTCTAAGGCTTGAGCTGAAATCGAAATCAATTCCATTTCGGGGAAAGACTATCAAGAGGCACATTGTGACTTTGTATACAAAAAAGTTTAGAAAGTGAAATTCGAATGAACATTTAACGGCAATATTTGCACGTAGGGAAATAGTACAATCCACAACATCCACTTTAGCAGATACCGATGTACCTAATTACCGCTCTTTGGAACCTGCATAGCTTACTGTACATCTTCAGGGAGAACTGTGGAAGCGTTTCTGTCCGGGCACAGATGTTTCAAACAAAATATCGTGTGATATAATTTATAAAGCAATACAAAAAAAACATGACCCTTTTAATGGCAGCCGGACTGCTTTGGGTACAGTGGTTCAATTAGTGGAGATTGTTTAAATGTACGTAGGTATCATTAGTAGTGCTGTAGCTTTATTAGTGGTGTTTGGATTTGGAGTGAGAAGGTTAAGTTTGATCCCTAGCTATAACATCCTCTTTAAATCTTACAGTTAAAGTGCGAAAGATGATGAATACTTCAACTTTAAATATGATGATTAATTGTATTTCGGTTCCCGTATTATGGAACTGTAACACCGACACTAAAAACGGGTAATTTCCAACTTGCTTGACCCGCGTCGCTGAAACTCCACTTACCGATACGAGCCTCTGGCGAGCGAAGCGGTTTGGCATTATTTTATTTTTAATACTATAACAAACCGTACGGAACAGTTCGTTAACCAAACCCTATACGGAGCCAATTCTTTAAAAAAAACAAAACAAAGCAAAGTGGGGAAGCCGTAAATTTCAACCTGGACATGTTCTGCCTTCTGAACGCGATAGGGGAAAAAGTAAACACGGACCTTAGAGGTTTCGCAGCCAATAGGAAAGCAGACAGGAGACGGTGCGCTCGCTGATTGGCCCATTCTTTATTAGCTGTAGCCAATGGGCGATTAACCGCTGAAGAGGCGAGGCGCGGGTGTGACGTCACCCCTAGACCCATCCTTCCTGGGGGTGGTTATGCAAATATAACTCTGGGGTCCAGTTGCCGATTACAAGAAGCCGAAAAAAGGAGGGCTAACTTTCGAGGGAGGTGACATTCCTGAGCACTTCAGCGAGTCTGCAGCAGTGCTGTCCAGTCCGTTTCGCAAGAGGGACGGTTCCAGATTTTGCAAATTATATATATTTCCTGTTGAAGACGACGGCGTTGATAAGCAGGGAGCCCCATGCGGTTGACTCGTCCAAGGCTGTCCTGATCTCCACGCGAAGCACAGCGACCGCTCCGGAGTTGAGTAGGAGCTCCCGAAGTGCGCTCCTCGGATATACCCGCCCCGCCGAGAGCGGCTCGCCGTCCGAAGTTGGAGTTGAATGAGCCTGAGACCATGCTGTGGAAGTTAGCGGACAACGTGAAATACGAGGAAGACTGCGAGGTGAGAGATGGACAGGGGTAACTAGCGCAGGCGTTTTTGCACAGGCGGCTCCGGGAGCACTTGAAGACCAAGAACCGGGCGCTGCGTTGTCTGCCCAGGTGTAAACTTACTCCATCTTAAAATAAGGGCTCGGATCGGCTCCCTTTCAAGTCTTCAATTCCTGGATCTGTAAGCGAGCAAACGCGCCTTGGCTGTAGAGTACACGGAGGGATATCGGGGCTACATTTTAAACAGCGCCGAAGGGTGAAGTCCACCTTAGTTTCCAGGATGATATTTTCTCAAATCGGTTGTGATGTGTGGTTGTTTCGGGTGGACGGATTGGGCAGGCAGGGAGACGCGAGGGTGCGCCGGTTCATTCGCGACTGGCGGGGCGGATCGGACAGGTTGTCGGGATATCCGCCCGTAACGACACTACTGAGTCCATTCCGCCGCTCGACAAGACTTCGGCTACCGCTGTAGTATCGGGGATACTTACAGAATATCCAGGTAAAGATGTAGTCAGCGGCGAGGACTACTATATGCAAAATGAAAGGTTTGAGTCTTTCCCTCACTGAGGTGAGAGGTGTGTTTGTTTCGAGTTTTATTTCAGTCATCACGAATTATTTTCTGAAAAGCCGTGCAGGCCCCAACAGGCGGAACTGAAGCGGTTTAGGTCCTGTTTTTGGCAGTACAGCGAGTGTCAGTGAATTGTACAGGTATGATTCAGAAGGTGAGCCGACCGGTCGAACTGGTCTGTTCCTCGTCCCCCTACCCGCGCCGTGGCGTGGGCTCCGAGAGGAAAGGGGCGCCCAGGTGCCCCACAGATCCGCAGCCCTTTGCCTGAAGCTCGCGTGTAGAATTTGCTCGACAATTAGAACGAGTCAAGGTCCTTACGGAATTAATTAAAATTAAGTAGGGGGTCAGTACGCAATTGATCATGCAGTCGTTTCTTACCCTTTGTTTAGAAACCATTTGTGTTTCACTGCCTAAAACACAGATCGCTAGATGTCGGGGAAAAAGGGCCGCGCTTTCTTGTTTTAGCATCAGGAGGCCAACGATTCCGGGACGAGGCGTGATGTTGTGGTAGTCTGACGGCGAATCCGGGGTTCGTGTCTCCGCGCAGCGTTGGGAACGGGGCCGGTGCCGTCTGGGAAACACGCCGTTAACCTCCCGGATTCTCTTCGAGATCGAAGTGCTTCCAAGTCTACTTGTGCAGATCCTGTCGCCTGAAGCTGGCGCAGGGACGGGCACTGATGCGGGGCGACCTCTCTCCCCCCCCCCGGCTCAATTGGTCATAGTCTGCTCCATACTGTCCCCTCGGCTCCGCGTGATTAGATTCAGCTACTCCGCATCAATAGACGTCTTTTAGAAGCCGGGCGGCTCGAGCCCTGAGCATTTCACGCTCCGCATGACCCCGTGTCCGGGCATTGAAAACGAGCCCCCCTATTAACCCTCACGGGCTCACGGGCTCGGCAGCCGCGCACGCTGGAAGAAATCATGACCGAAAATCCCCATCTTTTTCCCCTTGCTAGCGGCTCACAAAAAGTAAAAGCAAACGAGCGACAGGGTGACGGGAGAGGTAGTCTGGCCTTGAGCTCGTTCTGCGGGCATTTTCAGGAAAGACGCTGCGAGGCGATTTTGAAAAGCGGACTACACCACACTCGTCTTGAATAACGCGAAACCGACTGAAACGATTCTACACTGTTCTTAAATTCTTTAAACCCGATTAAAGAAGCATAAAAACCCCCATCCAAACGGATTAGAAGACGTTTATCGCCGTCACTTTGTAAGACTTTGTAAAAGTCAATATGTCGAAAAACAGTAATGGTCTTAAATCGCGCTTAGAGAAACCTAACTCAGCCCTGAAGCAGTTGCAGATTGTGGGGAGCGAACCCCCCGAATGTACTCAGGTGCGCTCTGGAAAACGCTTTCAACTCGGGATGAAGGCGCTTGAACTGCGAAATCCTTCCCGGGTGTAGAAATTGAGAAAACGAGTAGGTGATGCCAGAGGGGATCATTGATCTATGTGCAACAGTTTGTTTTTTTTTTTAATTTAACAATTTAACAGGAATTAGTTCGCAAATTTGTAAAGCCCATTCTAAATTTTCCCCATCTACAGATTTTTAAAATCGGGTTCACAACAACGAAAGTTGTTGGGGTTTTTTTTTTCGGGTGCAGAACATGTAGAATCGACCGCTCTCGCCAGTGTTGTTGGTGTAGTCTACCAGATTCACACTGTTCGTTGTACGAGATTAAATATACACCTATCCCACTCTCTAGAAACCGATGTGCTGGGAGATCATCTTTTTCCAAAAGTCGGTTGCGAGTAGATTGACCATGATTAAAATACATCTATATATTTTAAAAGCTTTCAATGGTTCGCAGCTACTGATATTTTTAAATATTTATGCTTTAGCTTGAGGCTACTTATTCACTGTTTTATTAACTTCTCAAATTTTGAGTGGATCTGTGAGGGCCAGGAGAGACGTCTCACGGCCGAAGGGCTATGACCAGCTTTAGTTTTTTTTTTTAAATAGTTTTCTAGAATCGTAAGAAATGCTTTAAAATTCTACTGCTGTCCAAACCCCTTTGCATCTTGTCCACATGCAACGTGTGGTAACTTTTTTTAAAATTTTTCTGTCATTACGCAAACGAATAAGTGTAAATGTAAAAGGAGGAAAACCATTACATTTTAAAACCAGATCGAACAGAGACAAAAGCAAACCCTCTTGCTCTGCGGAGGGGAGACTCTGTGGGAGGGTGGGACGCGCACCGAGCGCATCAGGACGGATGATATTTGAGGATGAACACAGCCGTAACTGTGTCGCTGTTCGATAATCGCCTCCGCTCAACCCCAGTGCTACTGGCACTCGCGACGGCGCTCTGTGATCTCCACGGCTCTTCTTACTCCTTGCTCTTCCCCCTCAGGAGAGGCACGATGGCGGCAGCAACGGGGCCCCCCGGCTGCCGCACCTGACGGCGGTCAGCCAGCACCTGTACAGCCCGGCTCCTCCCCTCTCCCACTCGGGCAGCTCCGACTTCCAGCCGCCCTATTTCCCTCCGCCCTACCAGCCGATGGCGTACCCGCAGTCCGGCGACCCCTACTCGCACCTGAGCGACACCTTCAACATCAACCCCCTGCACCAGCCC